GTCTCATTTCGTCTCCACTTGGGGATTTGATGCTAGTATCTTTATAAGTAACACACATGTATAACAGGAATGTATTTAAATTCACGTCAATCCCAGCAGTGCTAATGGATCTTATGAAATTAAAGTATACACTCGTACATAATAAGTTCATATACCATCCATATATAAGAGAGAGGCGAAAGATGCCAAAGGGTCATTCAAACTCATAAGTCGAAAAATAAGCTGACAACGCCTTGGATTAAAAAAAAGACCAACAAACAAACAATAATACACAAAACACAACATAGAAAACTAAAGACTGAGTAATGCGAACCCGACCAAAACTGGAGGTGTTCTCAGGTGCTCCGGAAGGGAAAGCAAATCCTGCTCCACATGTGGCATTCGTCGTGTTGCTCATGTTAGTACAAACCCGGTAATAAGTCTAATTCGGTAGGTCACATTCGGGGAAAGGGGACGGGATTGTAGTTACGACATTTGGAACATATCTGCTAACATCTGTGAAACCGATATTCCATAACGATCAACCAACTCGTGATGGCGTCCGTTAAATTTAAGAAGGGAAGATTTCAACTTCATCACTTGAAACTCTTGGTTTAATAGCTTCCTTGTGATCAGCAACCATCTATCAAGGAAATCATGATAGGGAATACAAGCCCTGGAATATCGTATCAACTGGGAGATGTATACTCCATATGCAGGCGATGCTGGAATTTTGCTATATAGAATTGGAAAGTTCACAATTTGGAAGTTAAATCATCTTTTTTGTCGTAAAGTTTTGTTTTCAACCGACCCTCATTGTCAATTTCTATATGTAAGTCAAGATATGAAGCAGACACAAACATGTTAAACCCCGCCACATTCGTATGTGCCTGTCCCAAGTCGGGAGCCTGTAGATCAGTGGTTGCCGTTGGTTCAGGTCTGTTGTTTTTCGCAAACTGGTTTGTTATAAATTAGTCCGTTAGTTTTCTTAGTTGAATTGTTTCATATTTTTCACGTCGAGGCCTTTATATTGTTGAAGGCCGTACGGTTGCCTATAATTGCTTACATCAACTTCATTTGAACTTCGGTGGATAGTTGTCTCATTGGCAAACATACCTTATCTCCTTATTTTTATATTAACTGTATCTGTTGTATCCTTTATCTCAAGTTCGATAGGATAGATGCGTTCAACATAGTCACCAAATTTTGAATTATTTAGTAAGACAACATCATCTATATAGCGGAAAGCAGAGTTAATAGGACAGTGCTAACTTCTTTGCTTTCTTCCTAAGAAGTTCCTGTATGATGTCAGCCTCATATGAATGATGAAACAAGTCGGAAAGAAGAGGGACACAGTTGGTTCCCATGGGAATGCCGATTGTTTGTTGAAGACACGTCCTCGAAACGTAACAAATATGTTGTCAATCAAGAAATCAAGCATCTTGATAATGTCAGTTTCAGAGAATATTTTGTTTGAATACCAAATACCAAATAGTTTACTCTTTAAAAATACATTTTAATTTAGGAAGCCCATCGTATACAATAAATATTTTGCTTGAATTTATCATCATATCAACTTATTCCCATCTGAAGACACACATCTGCTTGGAAAGCATTCACGATTCATATCATAGTACTTGTATAAATTCATTGTATCTTGATCAGTTGTTGTTCGTTGTTGTTTGTCTTATCTTGTACGTTTATTTCGGAGAAATCCTGTGTTTGAGGTTGGATGGTCTATATAATGTCTTATATTTTTGGTTATTACTGTTATCTATTTTTATTTAAACATCAAGACAAGTAAACCATTGAAGTACAATGGATACTGACTGTATTAATAACATCAAAATGCTAAAGAAAACCTTCATCTGTCTGCCACTAGTTGCAAGTTGTGCTGTTAACGCAAAAAACTTTCATAACACCTCCAATGATGTAAATTGTATTCTATGTTGTAGTATTATTTGTATGTAATGATTCGTAAACAATCTCATTTAAAATATCAACGATCATCTGTTACAGTTATTACATTCTATAGTATTTTATTGTATATAATTCAGTAATGTACTTAGCTATGGAATTTTATCTCATTAATTGTAGCAAAATTAAGGCAATATTTGCATGAGTGATTATCATTTAAGTGCAAAAACACCAATGACTAGTACACATGTGATGTTTTGATCAGACTAAATGTGAACCGGTCCTAGTTCCCCAATTAACTTATCGTTTATCAGACTGCTGAGTAACAGTTCACTTGGTATAAAATAACAAATGATCAATGATCAATGATCAATGAACTACAGATAAACACACAATAACAATTACCCAGATAAGCAAGAATCTTAAATCACCTACTGTTTCAAATACAGACTAGCCAGCAAAATAGGACAATCGTTTGTTGAGCGGTACTAGCGGTACTTTACATAGCACTTCGATATTTCTAATGAGCAATATTTGGAAAGTTTCAGCACTAACCGTTTCTTATTGTGGTCCGATAGTTTTTAAACTTTACAAAAGTACAAAACATATACCAAGGTTATATGATAGACCAATTTATTCGCAATTCGAAAAAAATGTTACTCTCTAGTAGTCCTTGGAAAAAACTATTAGAAATACAAGTTGTAAATAAAGGATTAAAGTACAAGACAGGAGCCTGTAGTTCAGTGGTTGTCGTTCGTTGCTGTATATCATTTTTGTTTTTCATTTATTGTTTTGTATATAAATCAGGCCATTAGATTTCTCATTTGAATTGTTTAACATTTGTCCTTTCAGGGCATTTTATAGCTCACTATACGTAATGTGGCCGTATGGTGACCTACAGTGGCTAATTTCTTACTAGTGGATAGTTGTCACATTGGCAATAACACCCTATCGCCTTATTTTATAATGAATGACACAAAGGTCACATTTAATTGCTTTGAAATCAAGATATTTAGTAAAATAAAGTTCACCGGTTATTTTGGAATAAAAGTCTGTGTTCCAAAGTAAATGAGAGTATGTTTATAGTTGTTTATATATCTTCTAGTAGTTTAATGTCCTTGAATATCTCGATACTCTGTCAAATTCGCCTATGTTGTATCTCCGTATATCATAGGTTTGAACGTTGTTTTCAATTTAGACTTGTTTATATTTTTTCGTTTGGGCTTGTATTATATTTTCCTTCGGGTTTATATGATCCGTTCCTCCTATTTCGACTCTTCAAAATTCAAGATTCTATCCTAAATTGAGGTAAATTTTATGGCTTTCCAAATACTGTTTACATTTCTAACATCACTGAAGAGACATTAATTGTCTAAATCCGGATATGGTGTACAAGTTTTTGCACCTCATGTTTGCGGTATACCATCGTTTTGTTAAAATATACTTTTTCACTTTTTGGTCTTTTGGAAAATGTTGTTTGTGCTGTATTTAGACCCCTCTACCAAGAAATTTGTTTTGCATGCACACTTATAAAAATTGCGGTTTTTATCCAACGCAACCATAGGTTTGAACGTTGTTTTCAATTTAGACTTGTTTATATTTTTTCGTTTGGGCTTGTATTATATTTTTTTTCGGGTTTATATGATCCGTTCATCATATTTCGTCTGTTCAAAATTCAAGAGTCTATCCTAAATTGAGGTTAATTATATGGCCTTCCAAATACTGTTTAGATTTCTAACATCACTGAAGAGACATTGTCGAAATCCGGATATAGTGTACAAATTTTTGCACCTCATATTTGTGGTATACCATCTTTTCCACAAGTTTATTGTTTTCTGTTTGGTATTAAATCAATAATTAAGATCCATTTTGTTACATCTTGTGATCCGTTTATTTGGAATCGCCATGGCAGCTACAGGGTTTAAGAACATCTGTTGTTCGACCTTTTAGTCCAATGCGTTTTGTTAAAAAATACTTTTTCACTTTTTGGTCTTTTGGAAAATGTTGTTTGTGCTGTATTACGACCCCTCTACCAAGATATTTGTTTTGCATGCATACGTATAAAAATTGCGGTTTTTATCCAACGCAATCATAGGTTTGAACGTTGTTTTTCATTTGGCCTTGTATATATATATATATTTATATATATATATTTATGTATATAAAAACTGTATTAATAAGTATGATTAAATATGAGCAATTATCGAAAAGACGAATCCAAAATAAGGCTATTCTTACCCTTTATTCTTTAAAAAAGTACAATACATATTGATTAAAAGACGTAACAATGCGTAGTAAATAGACTTGACTATGTTTAAAGTAAATCACGCATAAAAATTCATTGTGTTTCCACCTTTCCTGTATCATTCAACACGTGATATCATAATCTAGGTGTTGCCTGTAAAATATATATGATCATAGTTCAAAATTTCAATTTTAGTTTCCGGTATATAGTTCATCTTTGTAACTTTATGTTCATCCCACATTTAAAAATGCCATTTAACAATTCTTTAATAATTATCTTCAAGAGAAAAACAAAACCCAAATGATTCAAATTTATATTTCTTTGCGAGATGCAAGTTAAAATTTACTGATACTGCCCTGGATGTAGTGTGATCGTCATCTGACATATACCTCCGCTCTGATTGGTGTTAGGGTAGTCATGAACTTGCAGGACCTTGATATTTTTGCTCCATGTGGACTATCTTAATTACTACCAACTTTATGCGAAGAATAGCTGTAGGTTGATTTGCATTTGCATTTGGGTTTTTTTCATGTGGTTGTAGTCATGCAATGTGTGCCATGACTTGAAACAACATATCCTTTCTTTTACATTAAGCATAGGAAGGGTTTTTTTTTAAATCACCAGTTCTTGTTGTAAACAATCGCTCTCGTCTTATATAATCTGGTGTCCGCAACGTAATTGAACCATCCACTGTGGCATATATTAAATAATTAAATCTGAAACTTGATAAATTTTACATAAACAATAAATTTTTAATGGTATTTTTATGCACGGTATATATGCACATGCGTATCAGCACATGACCAGGAAGTGGAAGTGGGACATTTATTATTTATATCATTGTGGTTATTTTGTTTAAGAGGTATCATGTCTTATCATCGCTAAATTTAAACTTCCTTATATAATTGTTCAAAACTAGTCAATAAAATAAAAATTGACAATCAATCTCTTCTTTCAAAACTTTACATTTTTTGGTTGAAAAATGTCGGGATTATATATCAAATTCTGGGTTCAGTATTGAATTGAGCATTCATTCCATTAAAAGATGATAAATTTACAATAACTCCAGGTAAGTGGTTTTTTATTGTTTACATTATTTTGCTAGTGACCAAGGTGCACAAAAAGAAATTTTCTATAGTACACCTGTCTTCATTCATTGGTATCAGACGGTAACTTGAAAGGTTACATTTAAAAAAAATAGTAATTAATTGAATATTAAATGTATTAGATTCGGTAAACATGCCCGTACGAATTTGTACACTTCTAGACTCTAAATTGTCGCTCATGACTCACATGTGTCCTATTTCAAATCAGATGATGAGGTGTACACATCAATGAGACAGCAACTTAATAACAAAAATAAACAACACAATAAATCAAGCTCTAAATAGTCCATGGATATTCAATTCAAATATATTATTTGACAATTAAATTTTGGATGTAACGCGTCTTCTGATTGGCTGAAAGTGTTTTGTCTATCAACTCAAGATTTGTTCTGAATATCTAATTAACTATGAATAAAAAGTGATGTTGGGTATACGTCAATGAGACAACCAAAATATTTTAAATAACCTAGAGACACTCACATCTAGAGGACCCTCGCCGCGATATAGCCTTTTTTTTAATAATGCAGCGTAAAACAATTACAAATCAATCAATCTTTAAAGCAAATGCATTTACCTACGATAAAGTATAGTTAGTAAATTTATATCATCCATTTTTTTCTTTAGAATACTGAAGTTATATCAAAATATATGTTTGGACGAGAAAAAAAATAAGATTACTTGATGCAATAAGATTGAAAAAAACGAAATCACTGACTAGTGCTTGCTATACACAATTAACCTTCATATTTCTACAGAAAAATTTACCAGTATTGGAACTACGCGACGCACCCGAGTTGGTTGTTCTCTCCACGGATGATATTACATTTGCCTCCGATAAAGTTTATTAAGTAAATTTATATCATCCATTTTGTTCTTTAGAATACTGAAGTTATATCAAAATATATGTTTGGACGAGAAAAAATAAGATTACGTGATGCAATTAGATTGAAAAAAACGAAATCACTGACTAGTGCTTGCTATACACAATAAACCTTCATATTTCTACAGAAAATTACCAGTGTTGGAACTACGCGACGCACCCGAGTTGAATGTTCTCTCCACGGATGACATTGCCTGTTCACTAACTATAAACTTTGATAGTCAAGGAATAACCAAGACTTATACACATAGGTTTGTAAGGTAGATAGTTTCTACGTTTACTAGTAACACTCCCCGAAGGGAATTGTTCCAAACATCCCTTTACCTATCTTGCCATGTGGATTTTCAAATCTGGAAATATATGCAGACACAATTTGTTAAAATTTGTGTTATTGTTTCTTTTCCTTATAACGACGAAGCCCTTGAAATTCTTAATGCCTTACGCGTGTTGCCTTTTCATACCTTCCTCTTGCAAAGCTTGATAAACACTCGTCCTTCCGTCTTAAAATCAGCATTGCTTTCATTGCAGAACATCTCTTTGTCAATTATTGCGTAATTACTAACTAATAGTTGCAGTACACATCACACATCTCCTTACAGAGAAGTACCAGTTATGGAACAACGAGACGCATTTGAAGTGGCTGTTCTCTCCGACGACGAAATTACTGGTTCACTAACTATTAACTCTGATGGTCAAGAAATAAACGAGACACATACGAACAGGTATGCTACATGGAGTGTATAAAAGGGAAAAAATAAGATTTTTTCTTACAATGAATTTGAATCCAATGCACAAAGCATAAAGAGATACAGGCACATTTTCCCGTCTGTGCAACCTGACAAAGCACTTATCATTGACGTCGAAGACTGAAAACCTAGTAACTTTCTGAATTTCGGGAGTATGTTGTGCTTGGTTTATATAGCTGAATGGTTTAGTTTTATTTTAAAACACGGGTACATATCTTTTCTTTTAAAAGAAAATCTTTATGTTATCCAAATCTTTAAGGATTACACTGCTATTGAGTTATTGTTTTCCCGTACTCTAATTAGCCGACAGCTTTTCTGTAAACAATGACCTCAATATGACACCTGTTCGTTAGAGGCAATCACACTAGTCATGTACCAAGGGAAAAAACGTGATGGGAAAAAAAGTAAACAAACATGGAAAGAAGAAAGTATTAACCGATTCTTAAAGAAAACAATTAATATCAGCTGTTATGACAAAGATTAATTAACAAATGATAAAGCGAGGAAAATATTTACAAAAGAAAAAATAAACAACGCCCTATCATCCTTCTCATTATACACGTGCTCGACTCACCACTCATTGTTCTTTTATCGTTGTTTATCGAGGTCAAAATCGAAAAACAAAAACCCGAAAGTTAACTAACAGCCAAAATTTTTGTTCAACTATCCCCGAATGAAATAGTTTTTGTCGATTATACGTTATTGAATTTTAATAACAGAGGATTTAGTTTAGTGTTTATACATGCATTGGTTCAATAGGTTCTTGAACATTATATACAATTACCAGACACTCGCTTTATATGATCTTATTTTCCGAAAATACCTTTTCGGACTTTATTGTAGTGATCATATTAAAAAGATAGACGAGTGTCTTAAAATTATAATTGTATTGAAATTATTGCACTAATGCATGCAACATTTTATGGAAGCGGGATCAATGTACCTGTATTTATACATCAGACCGTACTGCACTGGTTATCGGAATTTTGGATACACCAAACCAGGCACTTTATATCTGAGAAACAGGCTATATATGCCCTCAATTTTAGAATTCATTCATACATTTTTGTATTGTTCAAAATTATCAGTAAATTGTGTGTTCTACAAGGATCACCAGTACTTCACCTTTCATCTGATACCTTAATTACTAAAATATATGCTACATAATTTAAGATTTTTCCCTTATGTGTAGGAACTATTTTGTTTTAAATACTAGTATGTACTACTTTCCAGTAGGTGGTGTTACATCTTACAAAGTCTATCCAAATTATATTTGTAATGAATTCCGCTCAAGCTGGTGCTAGTGACCGTCTTAACCTACAGTGAGGTGAGAGTTTTTTGCTCCGTGTTGAAGGCCTCACTGTGACTTTGGGATGTAGAACAGCAATAAAAGCGCTGTTTCTTTGCTTATTGTGTGTTTTTTTGCCGTGCATGAACTGGTTTTGTGTCATGGATGGATACCCCATATCCTTTGTTTTTCTATTATATATACTAAAGTAAGTCCTGTATTCACGTTTTTTACATTTATTGCGAATCTATAAATACTATTTCATTCAGTGATTGTTGATCGCAACATAATTAACTTTCGAGTTTGCTGTCGAAGTTTACAGGATCGTGACATTGATAAACAAACAACACAGAAAACATGCAGCACGTGAAAAATAAGTGAATTGATAGAACCATGATATTTTTCTTTTACATTTTCCATGCGTTCCTATTTGTTTATTTAACTTTTCCTTAACAGTTGTTAAATTATTGTGCGTATTTGATTTGTTCTTTAAGAATTAGTTCTTACCTTTTTACTTTCCAGTGCACGTTGTTTTACATCTTTTATCACGGTTTAACCCTCGAACTTGCGGTGTGCGGTAGTGTAAGTTCTAACGAGAGGTAGTGAAGGTCATTGCATACGGGAACATATCGGCAAATTAGAGTACGGGAAGATAATATCAGAACATTTATGAAGATTTTGATAATGTAAAGGATTTTCTTTTACAAGAAAGTTGACGTACACTTATTTTATAGTAAAACTAAGCCATTCAAGTATATAATACATATTCAACTTTTATTTTTAATTTGCAGTTTCATATGACTTTAACATGTTTAATTTGGCAACTGAAATACGGAATCGTTCCCTATCTTACTTATGCTATTTTGTAACTTATATATACATATTTGGGCTCATATATATATATGTATATATCTGAAGGCATTATCAACACAGGAGCGCATATTGCATTTTATTAGAATTATTCTTTTAGGAATGTATACCTAGAAATTTTACAAAGCTGTTTATAAAATGTCAAATTTAACATACAAAACTAAACATGTCAGACTATCGGAAGTGAGACTAAATTAATATCCTGATATTCCCCTGATAAAGGGTTAGCAACATGGATCGCACGAGGAACAATAAATAAAGGCCTATCAGCTCGGATATGCTGATATATTATTTACTTTACTGTTTAATCCATTTTTGGTAATATCCTCTTGGCGTGGCTCGGTACTAAAACATCCCGCCATTGTGTTATTGTGCTATCGTCATTTTTTGTATTCTTGTCCGTCATTTTTACTTATGTGCTTTGTCTATATGCCATTTTGTTTTTCTTTGTCGACTTGTTTGTTTGTTTTTATAGTGAATAAGATTATAACACAATGTTGACTGCTGTACCCCTATTTTTGACATTTTTACCTATTATGTCTGTTTGTTTTGTTCACAAATTGTTGTCAATATAATGGAATTTTATGCGACTGTCATACAAGTGAGAGGTTTAGCTAGCTATAAAACCAGGTTTAATCCACCATTTTCTACATAAGTAAATGCCTGTACAAAGTCAGGAATATGACAGTTGTTTTCAATTCGTTTGATGTGTTTGAGCTTTTGATTTTGCCATTTGGGAACTTTCCGTTTTGAATTTTCCTTGGAGTTCGGTATATTTGTTATTTTACTTTTTGCTTCTTTCTTGCTGTATTACCTATATAAAATGAAACATATTTTCGTTAAGTATGTGATAAATATAAATTATTGTGTAGATTTTTTATTGTTTTGAATACTGTCAGTTGCAAAAATATCATTAAATGGTATTTTCAATACCACACCAGTATCAATCCGAGACACAAATAATACAATGCATGTTCTTCCTGATGAGCACCGCATGTTATTGGTGTATGTGTTTTTATCATCATACATGTTTGTACTTTTCGGTAATCATATATAAATTTTCCTGAAATCGTATGTTTTTCTGACGCAGTCGTTATAGTTTCCATTTGGTAACCTTTGACCTTGATAGTGCTAAACTATGTTAATTAAAACGAAAAAACTGTTACACCGAACTTTTAGCTTAATTTTGAAAAAGCCATTTAAATAGTGCATAAGTTATCTATAATGCAAACACTATTAAATATTCAGTGAAACATGATAAATTTGCATACACTTATTTTCAGACGGAACTGCCTTTGGTCCATTATATTTTCTTGGATTGTGCTTCCAACAACTGCTGGTAATTTACTTCCAGGTGAAAATGAAAGTCAGCACAGTCGAGACGGAAAAATTTCATCGTTAGTTGCCTTAAAAACAGCCGTTGGTATTCTTGTAGTGTTAATGTATATCAGGTTCGGATCTACAAGTCTTCAAGGACTACAGATTAAATATGATATAGTACAAATACTAATTATTATATTTCTCGTAATTTCATTCTTTATCTATTTAGTTTTCATTTTTGGTATAGTATATTATCCTAATAGTTGGACATATTCAGAATCAAAAAGAAAACACACATGTCTAAAAATGTTGTTTATTGTAATTTTTACACCATGTAATATTGCATACCTTGCAATTAAAGTAAGTGTTCATGTGAAGTGTACAGTAAATCCAGAAAATAGACAAAGTTTATCAATACATATAATTTATGAATGTCTTTTCATCGTTTTTCTAATATTTCAAATGTTATTTATGTGTATGTCTTCCGGAAAAAATTTGTACAAATCCTGTCTCATCCATTATGCTGCTACAATTGTTATCGCATCAAATGTTGCAATTGTGTTCTATAGTTCTCTCAAAACCCACTTTGAAGAAATTTTACATCATGATGCAAAAATTGAATGTTTTAATCAGACAATTGCATTCTCAATCTATGATTCTTCAAAATTATATCTAGAACCTACAGTGATTGAAAATGCGCTTTTGTGTATACTTGTAATAAAAGAAATATTTTCTTGTTCACATGACAATCAAAAAGATCATATAGAAACACAAATATATGCTATAAGGGGTAAACTTATGTGTGTCACTGTATTAGCGGTAGTTTTTGTTTTTCCTTATTTTTTACTCAGAATTTTACTTCTTCATAATAATGATAGCAGCAACCACCTTTACTTTGTTCAAGCATGCACATTTGCAGTTCTTAAATTTATAATGTACATAGTTTTGATTAAATGTTTTCATTTTCTTCTGATCAATTGTAGAAATTATTATACAACATCTGAAACACCTCTAAAATTAAATCATTACTTAATTTTATTTAGTGCTTTAGGATCAGAGGTATTCTTTGGATTGAATTTTGCTGCATCTGTTGATAAAGTAGAAACACAAACAGTCTTGTACGCAGTCAATAATGTATTGCAATTTATAACTACTTTTGTGCAAACTGTATTAATCATTCAAATGAAAGATTACAAAAAAATAGAAGATGTGTCTGTATCAGCTACATTCCTTTTCCTAGCCTTGGTTAATTTTGGTCTTTGGTTATACGATACGTTCCTTGAAGCCGTGTACTTTGATCATCTTCACTATACAACACTTTATTATGGACAAACGACGACTCTGACAATAAGACATCTATTTGTACCTATGGTAATCTTTTATCGTTTTAAATGTTTCCTGTCTTTTTTTGAATTATCAGCTTTTACACCTCCATTTGTAGACCGACTTCTTGGTGCTGTGGACAAAATGAAAAGAAAAGTCTGTTGTCAACGACAACAAAGTTATGAGGAAATATAAAACTGTTGCTTTCTCAAGAAAGGAAAATGTTTTCATATACCATATATTAAATATAAATTATTTAAATATCTTGATATATTATCCTACTGTTAAAAAGATATTCACTAAAAAGCCATTCCTTCTATAGAATCCTTGCTTTGATAACCAGACAAATCGAGTGAATTAAGAAAATTAATTACTACCAATACTTTCCTATATTCATTGTTTTGAATGAGAACAATCGTCTCATTAACAATTATACAATGTATCTTTATTTTTAATCATTTTCGCCCATTATGTTACCGTGGCATAATACCACTAAATAAAATATGATGATATGATGTCTATATAACTGCATTGTTTGAATAAACCAGTACTTTGTTTGTTTGGTTTTTTGGGGGGAGGGGGTGTGGGGGTGTGGGGGGGTTCTTTTTTAATTTTTATTATAAATATGAAACTCTATATCACTACAATTAATCTGTGACAACGAAACGTATACATAATCTTTTGTAAAAACAATTCATAATATTTGTTTTAAACGACAATTGTAATCAAATGATATCGACAATAAAACCAGATAAAAGAAGATTTGCCATTAACTATCGGCTGAATTTTGATGCGCAAACACAAACACTGTATTTGCACACATATATTTATCTTTTCTGTCCAATTTTACCAGATAAATCCGGTATTTGCATTAAAATAGAATAGTACGTACTGTATTTGAATGCTTAACAGATTTGATTTTACAATGCGAACTGTCTTCAACATCCGGATAGCATGATAATAATACTTCATTATTATTTCATATTTTGTACATATTTTATATTAATACAATATATATACTATATTAATATATTCCATGTTTTAAATATTTTGTAAGCTATAAAATAGCGGCAGCACGAATTATTTAAAATGGGCGCAATATTAGGACACCATCAACCATACTTTTTTGGAGAGCTGCGAAAGATGACCATTCAAAATTATTTTGTATATAGAACAGTAATTTTAGATTTTAAAGTGTTTCACCAAATATCTCCAGAATATCTCAATGTATTAAAAAATGTGCATCAGGTTAGTTTTAAAACAACCAGACAAAGTACTGGTAGTACTCTTTTTGTTCCATAAACTAAAACGGGATACTATAAACTCTTCTAGAAGTAATATACGTAACAATCTGTCTACAAATTTAAAATAATGAAACACAATTGAATCTTTTAAAAAGCATATGTTGAAGAATATTTTGTTCAATCATAACAACAGACTACTAGACAGTTTAATATATGTATGACACGGGTTATGTTCTTCTCATATATGTTATGATGGTATGATACTAAACCCCTAACGGGAAGGATTGTGCCTGATATTCATATGATGAAGACATAATCTTTCAATCAGTTTAATTGAAGTCTGGAGCTGGCATGTCAGTTAACTGCTAGTAGTCTGTTGTTATTTATGTATTATTGTCATTTTGTTTATTTTCTTTGGTTACATCTTCTGACATCAGACTCGGACTTCTCTTGAACTGAATTTTAATGTGCGTATTGTTATGCGTTTACTTTTCTACATTGGCTAGAGGTATAGGGGGAGGGTTGAGATCTCATAAACATGTTTAACCCCGCCGCATTTTTGCGCCTGTCCCAAGTCAGGAGCCTCTAGCCTTTGTCAGTCTTGTATTATTTTAATTTTAGTTTCTTGTGTACAATTTGGAGTTTAGTATGGCGTTCATTATCACTGAACTAGTATATATATTTGTTTAGGGGCCAGCTGAAGGACGACTCCGGGTGCGGGAATTTCTCGCTGCATTGAAGACCTGTTGGTGACCTTCTGCTGTTGTTTGTTCTATGGTCGGGTTGTTGTCTCTTTGACACATTCCCCATTTCCATTCTCAATTTTATTAGTATTTTATTGTTGAATTTTATACTTTGTGGTGTACTATATCTATACAATGCATGACCTTATTGTAAACTAGTCTTTGGATTTGATCTGTTATCCTGTTGAATTAGAGTAAATTATTATTACTTATAATAAAGAAATGTATTGTTCGTCACAAAAATACAAGACTGATAGATTTTTCAATGAAATTAATGTTCTTCATGAGCATCTACCTTTTACTTTCCATTTACTTTTTGACTGATTGTTGGTTAAAGGTTCTAACAATATCAACGTGTATGCAGTACTAAATGGTACAATTATACTGTAAAATATGTAATCCGAAAAGCAGTAGTTTTGTTCTCTTGTGGAAACATGTAGTTGTCTCATCATATCACATCTTTTCAATTTTATTTTATTTTATAGGTTCATTGCCATATATGTACATTTGCATGCATCAAATGTAGTAAGTAGTTTTTACATTTCAAAGTTTCTGGAATCCAGCAGATATATTTGACTATAACAAAAAGCAAATAAATCTTACATTATACATTTTTTAAGACTCGGATGTGATTCATGATTAACAAAACCCATACCGTATTGTAAACTGTTCAATGTCCCGGAAGACAAAATGTTAAATTCGTGAAGTTGAAGAGAGAAAATCAAAGGCTAGCAGACAGTTGATCTTCTTAATCGATTTACGAGATTTGAACATCCATAAACAACCGTTGCCTTAATTTTTGTACGACTACCATAAACGAAAACAACTATCAAAAGGTAACTTAATAAAAAGACCAGACATTAGTTAATTTTGAGAGAAATGAAAGACTGTCCAATATACCAATTTTTTACATAACTAACAGTCTCTTTTTTTCTACGTCATATATATTTAATTCAGGTTATTCATTATCGAAATCTCTGATGATTTCTTTTCAAATTGAGGAAAGCAGGTGGCTAATTGTGATGTACAGCCAGATGTGGCATCAATATGAAATACATATATTTTGAGGTTTTGGGCGAGTGGGTTGAATGTTGAATGGTAGTGAGATTGTCAAATTGACAACATATGACTTATCCCTCGGTTTTGGATTGTAACCCGGATTTGTTTTCTCCCAATCGAGTTATGGTTCCTCTGTTTTCCTCTTATAGTTGATGTGTTTCCCTCGGTTTTGGTTTGTAACCCGGATTTGTTTTCTCTCAATCGATGTATGACTTTTGAACACCGGTATACTACTGATGCCTTTATTCATCATGAACAGTCTAGTGAATTTTTGTTATATTTCAAAAAATATATTTTGAACTTTTGATACATTTAGTGGACTTTAGTCACCTTATCGATTTTTATTATTGTAAATAGTACTGTTGATTGTTTGGTTTATGAATTTACTGTATGCAGCTCGAATGTTACATCCTGTCATTACATTTTTGTTTTAATAATTTGCAATACGTTCATTTTATTGTCAGTTGTATTTAATTGTGTTGATATAGATGTTAGCACCATATATTCAATAGGATGCCGTTACCCTTACCTCTTTAATCTGTATAAATATTATATTTGAACATTTGAACAAGTTTGTTGTTTTTGCAGGTGTCTTTTGTTTTTTTGTGTTTTTGTGGGTTTTTTTTAGGTTTCTACCCGTATCAGCCATGTAAAGAGCAAGCACAATTTAAGAAAAATGGCTCAAGTCTTCGATAATATTTCATAGTTTATTGCTGAGAAATATTATGTTTCTAAAGTCAGAATGAAAACAAACGCGTATTGCCTAAAACAGAATTTGACGTTACGTTCATAGTTACTGACGGTTTTTTTTTTACAATAACGTTGTTCCTGGACATTTCATGGTGGGTGCTAAAGATGCCATTAAAAGTTATTGTACGTATGCGATTACACATTTTGTATTGGAAAAGGTAAAGTTACACACGGGTCATTGGTACCAGTCGAATTATTTACCAGGGTCCACTGTCAAAAACAATTAACTAAGTAATCGGAATACATATATAAAATGTGTCCTCGAAACACAAAATCCACCATTTTGAATAGTTGCAATTAAATTCTATCGTACTCAAAAAATTACTGCAAGCCCAGATGTCTATCCCACTATGTCAGTGTATCGAATAACGCAGCTCCACGCAGCTACATTTCTATGTAGCAACATTCCAGCAGCGCCTGCATATGGAGTATACATCTCCCAGTTTATACGATATTCCAGGGCTTGCGTTTTATATCATGAGTTTATTAATAGAGGGTTGCTGCTCACAAAGAATCTATTAAACCAAGAGTTATAAATGGTGAAGTTGAAATCATCGCTTCGAAAATTTTACGGACACCATCACGATTGACCGTTATGAAACATCCGTTTCACAGATGACGACGTATATGTTTCAATCGTCGTAACCACGATCCCGTCCTCCTTTTCCCCGAATGTGACCTACCAAATAAGATATATGATATAGTATTAAATATAAACGAACTTTTAAATTACATTATAAACGCGGGTTGAATATAAAGTTACAATTATAATGTTAGAGAAGAAACAGAAATAAAGCATGCTCACGATATAGAATAGAAGTTAGAATGCATATATCATATTCACTTCGGGGCATTTTATAGCTTGCTTGCTATGCTTGCTATGCGGTATGGGTTTTTCTCATTATTGAAGGCGGCGTGGTGACCCGTAGTTGCTAACTTCTTTTTCATTTAGCATCTGGAGGAGAGTTGTTTCATTTGCAATCATATCACCTTCCTAGTTTCATATAGGCATACGTTGTTTTTTGCAGATTCTGTTAGTGCTGTACTAACTATATTCCGAAATCTAAAATTTATATTTTAAAAATTGATGATAATATCTCTTATACCCTAAAAGTTAGTTTATAATATCACGCGTTAATGAATAATACTGAAAACAATTGGAAAGAAAATAATCATTTTACAATGATTTTATTACTTTTGGTAGCCTTGGGTTGTTTTATGCTCTTTGGTCGGGTTGTTGTCTCTTTGACACATTCCCCATTTCCATTCTCAATTTTATTTAAGTATATTAAAGTCTATTAACTACACCTAATCAAATTCGTTCACAGTTGTTTTCACCATGACACTATCTTAGCATTCATACAGATTTAAGCTGCATCATGAAAAAAGCATATGATCAGACTAAAAGTGTAACCCTAACTAATACTTTAAACAATGGATTTAAAACCAGCTGCGGGGTATGTTACTGTATTAACATCTACTGATAAGCCTTGTTTTGTATACAATCACTGCACCATATAAAGTTTATGTGTTCTAAACTGATTTAAAACATGAAAGTTTAGGAAACTTTAGTATAGTTATAGTGACCTCAAACGACCTCCAAAGGGAGGTAGGATGTGTAAAAATAGATAACTTTTTGTACCAATGTAAGTGTATTGTCAAGTGATATGACCCTTAAATACTTCCTGGTTGAATTGTTATCAGGAAGAAAGTGAATTGAAAATACCAAAATTTTTTTTTTTAACTTAGCATTTATTTATTTCTAGAACTTTTTGGAATAATATTTTTTCCGAATTTCACTACAATCAAATGGATGAAGGTAAGTTAATAAAAAGTCTCTAATTGTAGCTATATAGAGAAACTTCAAATATCATTTTACTAGCCGGTACCTTTAAATTGAAACCTGTTCTTCAGAATAATGTTTATATTTTGACCTCCTTTTGAGTTTTACTGCATGTTTAGGTTGAAGTTGGGGTTGGGTGGGTTGGTGGTACATATATAAAAATGGTATATGTTATTCTTTTTCATTAGCATGAGGGAGATATATTATATGTAAATAGGGAGCAACTTACGTTCTGCAAAATAAGACGGGCGTATTTTTAGTTCTTTATTTTAGTTCACCAATTAAACTGTTTTTCAATGAATATCGATGCTTGCATATAGGTCCTGTAACATGCCGTAATTTTTCGCGAACACTTGAAAGTGACCTTAAGTCGTCATAGCAATCGTCGCCAATTCTTCATGCATGAAATAAAAACACTGCAGGAATATATGTACGAAGTAAACCCAATAATACAATTGCTTTGTTATCTGATTATATACAACTCTGTTATAGTAACTGATTTATAAAACCGCGTTCCCTAACTGCAATGACCTCTATAATACCATAAACGGTAAAAATTTAACGTACCAGATGCGCATTTCGACAATTAATGTCTCTTCTGTAATGCCCGAGCCAAATATTGGAATATCCAAAACCTAAAACAAGCGTTGAATAGAATATCAAATTAGGAACGACCTAAACAATACGTGAATAAACTGAGAAAAACCATACACAATATATATAGGTAGAGCTGCACAAAACAAATAATCATTATTATTGTTTGTATTACAATATTGTTTTTACAGAAGATGTTCCTTCAATTGACCATGGAGACGAATATGATTTGGAAGATATCTCTATATATGAGCTTTCTGATACAGCTGATACAGAAAGTATCAACACTGATGATCCTAGTAATCGGAGAAGCTCATTTAGAGACAGGTCTGTTAGATACTTAGAAATTTCGACTCTACATTTATGACATTCGAAACAAGAAAGATATCATCTTCATTTCTTTTTCTTGAATATTTGCAAAGAACAATGATTTGTGTTTTCCGATGAGTAAAACGCATACATCTAAACACAAACATAGCTACAAATACATGTATGTGTGTATGTTTGTATGTGTGTGTGAGGTTTTATGACGAATATAATAATAATGCTTAATTCATATGTCAATGGATACTTGTCAAATGTATGTCAGATTGCCAAGGACATGTTTCAATTGTCGGAGACGTTCTCCCGCAATCTTTTCCTCGATTGTGATATAACTGAACGCGACGAAACACCGAATATTTCATTACCATGAGCAACACGCCGGGAGCAACATGTGGAGTACGATCGACTTTATCGAACGCATGAGATCAATCCCGATTTCGATGGGGTTTGTTTTGATCAGTATTTCTTTTTATGTAGTGTTTTGTCGGTCTCTTTTCAACATATTAGTTTTAATCCTCCCTTAAATATCTTCCGTATCTACTTTGAAAATCGAATGTTGAAATTTGAATGTTGAATGCTATAATCGAAAGTTGATTATTGCCAATTCAATGAATGGTGAAAATTGATTATTGATATCGAATGATGGAAGTTGGATGTCGAATGTTGAACATTGAAGTCAAATGTTGAATGTTGAAAGCTTTTAAGTTGAAAATCTAATGTTGAAAGTTTTTAAGTTGAAAATCGAATGTTGAAAGTTTTTAAGTTGAAATTGAATGTTGAAGGTTGTAATCGACTAATGAATGTTGAAATCGAATGTTGAAAACTTCACGACAAAAGAGATGATTTCAGCTTCCCAATTGTGAACTTTCCATTTCTATGTAGCAACATTCCAGCAGCGCCTGCATACGGAGTATATATCTCCCAATTGATACGATATTCCCGGGCTTGTATTTCCTATCATGATTTCCCTGATAGAGGATTGCTGCTCACAAGGAAGCTATTAAACCAAGAGTTCCAAATGGTGAAGTTGAAATCATCCCTTCGTAAATTTTACCCACGCCATCACGGGTTGGTTGACCGTTACGGAATAACCGTTTCACAGATAATATCGGATATGTTCCTTATGTCGTAACTACAATTATACACTTCCTTTTGCACGAATGTGACCTACCGAATTAGATTATTTACCGGATTTGTAATAACATAAGCAACACGACGGGTGCCACATGTTGAGCAGGATCTGCTTACCTTTCCGGAGCACCTGTTTTTGGTGGGGTTCGTGTTGCTTAGTCTTTAGTTTCCTATGATGTTTCATCTGTACTATTATTTGTCTGTTTGTCTTTTTATTTTTGGCCATGGCGTTGTCATTTTGTTTTCGATCTATGAGTTTGACTGTCCCTCTGGTATCGTTCGTCCCTCTTTGATGTACAGAAAAACGACATTTAAAGATGCTTATACATACTTGTTTAAATTAAAACTTAAAACTAAAAAAGAAGACTTCATTTGATGTATATTAATTTTCATAAAGACTCTATCTTCACAGTAGTTATGGTTTTTGTGGTTTTAAGCCACACAAGCTCGTTTACTAACAACGTTATTTTCCAAGACATGGTGGATTCTGATAGAACAGAGTCATTTCTGCCACGCAGGCAGTAAAACTATTTTCCGCATCCTCTTGCAAAGATGACGAGAAATTGTCTAGTCTATTCTATTTAAGTACATCTATTGTTTAAATATAAAAAAAAAACAATTACATACACGTATACAGGCTGATTCCAATCATTTAAAAAAAATCGTTAGATTTATCTTATAAGTAATAATCGATGCGGGATATAAGTTAATACGGAAAAATTGATATTAAAGCAGATTTATATTTATAAAGGTTACAAAAGAGTTATATAGACAATAACAGTTTTAAAATTAACATCAATTCGTTATTAACAAAAATAGAAAATTTAATAACGACTTCATGTATCAGTTCTTCAAATAGAGGCTTAAGATCCCGAGAGGACATTCAAAGCGCATAAGTCAAAGAGAAACTGGCAAGGCTATGGCTAAAACGTAAGAAGATAAAAAGACAGACAAGTCGACGGAACAGTGCCTAAAAAATTTAAACATATTAACACGAAATCCATCAAAGACTCGGGTTGATCTTAAGCGGCCCCGAATAGGTAAGCAGATCTTGCTCCACTAGTAGTACTCGTCATAACTTGGAAAACCTAAAAATAAGGAGACTGAGTATTATTGAAAATGAAATAACTACATGCATTACGCAAATACGATATATTTATAATTTAACTTTACATTTTATAGTATTGAAATAATAAGAGAAAGACGAAAGATACCAGAGGGACATTCAAACACATAAGTCGAAAATAAACTGAAAACCGCATGGTTAAAAAAAGGAAAAAAAACTAACAGAAAAACAATAGTATACAAAACACAACATAGAAAACTAAAGACTGAGCAACACAAACCCCACCAAAAACTGGGGGTGATCTCAGGTGCTCCGGAAGGGTACGCTGATCCTGCTCCACATGTGGCACTCGTAGTGTTGCTCATGTTAGTACAAACCCGGTAATAAATCAAATTTGTAGGTCCCATTTCGGACTAAAAATCGCGGATTGAAAAACGCTACAAATAAACAGTCAACGAAAAGGGTTCATCTTAGATATATGAATTTAACAGATGTAAAACAATTAGTTGACACTTCCTACATATCACAAAGTATGTTTGAATTTTTTGACGGAAGACAAGACGTCCTTAGTCTACTGATAAAATAATCCTGTCTTCTTACATACTTTTCCCAGTAATTGTAATTTCAAGAAGATTGTATATTACAACCTTATAAACCTTGTTGAAAATCACGATCTAACATTATGATGAAAGTACATTTGTGTACAGAATACTAACATAGGAATTAACATAGTATTACATGATACATATATTCGTATTTTAATGAAATCGAGTGAATAGATGTTAATCTCAGAAATACATTACGCAATGACTGAACTATGTTTTCAGACTCGTTTTTTCTACAGAATGTAAGAGCCTCCCACTTTAACAAATCTTTAACATGGTATATACACAATTTACTTTATATAAACTGACATTTCATTCAGTGATAGTCAACAGTAGTTTATTTGCAAAGTATACAACATTTCAGGAGGAACTGCTTGTGGTCAATTATATTTTCCTGGATAGTGTTTCCAACCACTGCAGGGAATTTACTTCCAGATGTGATCGGGAGACGGAATAGTCGAGATGGTCAAATTTCTTCAATAGTAACTTTAAAAACAGTCATTGGAATTCTTATAGTATTAATGTATATAAGGTTTAGTCCCAGAAGAATAGAGGGTCTTCAGCTTAAGTATGATATAGTACAAATAATAATAATAGTTTTTCTACTGATTTCAATATGTATATATTTAGTTCTTATAATATATATATCATGTTTTCATCATTTTTGGACACGTTCATTCTCTAAAAGAAAACATCTCTTTTTAAAAATGTTGTTTATTGTAATCTTTACACCATGTAACATTGTATATCTAGCAATGAAAGTTAGCATTCATTTAACATGTATAGTCCGTCCAGAAAATGAAAACAGTTTAACAATACATATAATTTACGAATGTTTCTTCATTGTTTTTTTAATATTTCAAATGCTGTTTTTGTGTATATCTTCAGGAAAAAATTTGTATAAATCCTGTCTTACTCATTATGCTGCTACAATAGTCATAGCATCAAATGTTGCAATTGTTTTCTATAATTCTGTTAAAAATCACTTTGAAGATGTTTTACACCATAATGACAAACTCGAATGTTCAAACCAAACAATTGCATCATTAGTTTACGATTCTACAAAATCGTACCTTGAACCAACAGTAATTGAAAATGCTCTTCTATGCATACTTGTACTTAAAGAAATATTCTCCGAAAGCCATGATAATAAAAAATACCATGATATAACGACATCCACTCATAAGATTGTGCATAAAGTATTGTGTATCTTCTTATTATCTATAGCTTTTATTTTTCCTTATTTTTTACTCAAAATATTGCTTTTTAAAAATAGAAATATCAGTAGCAATCTCTACCTATTTCAGGCATGCGCATTTGCAATTGTCAAATTAATAATGTATACAGTATTGATTAAATGTTTTCACCTTCTTGCAGTGAAAGGTACCTTTTACTCAAAAACATCTGAAACACCTCTTAAATTAAGTCATTACTTGATTTTATTTAGTGCTTTTGGATCAGAAATATTCTTTGGACTTAATTTTGCTGCATCAGTTAGTATAACAGGAAAAGAAAGTTTTGCAGTAAATAATGTTTTACAGTTTATAACTACCTATGTGCAAACTGTTTTAATCCTGCAGATGAATGATTATAAAACGATAGATGACCGTCAAAATGCAATGTCGATATCGGGTACATTTTTATTCCTGTCCTTTGTTAATTTTGGACTCTGGTTATACGACACGTTCCTTGCTACTGAGCATTTTGATAAACTTTATTATACAGCCCAATTTTATGGATACTCAACAACGATGACACTAAGACATTTATTTGTGCCAATTTTAATATTCTATAGGTTCAAATGTTTCATTTCATTTTTTGAACTATCTGCTTTTACACCGCCTTTCGTGGAACGGTTTCTTTCCTTTGTGGACAAAGTTAGCCCGAGAATATGCTTTCGAAGACGGCAAAATTATGAGCAAATATAACAATTCCATTTTTACAATGCAAAATAATGAAATGAGTATTATATAATGAAGGACAAATATCTAACATTTAAGTTTGGCTTTACTTTCTGTCTTATTTGGTGGGTTTATCAGCTGTTCAACGTTTGTATTAGGTTTTTTAAAAATATAATGTTTTGGCCACGAAAATCACTGAAGAGATATCGTATGTCGAAATGCGCATCTGATGCAGCAAATATTTCTTAGTATTTGAAAACGTGTGTATTGACACATAAATAGAGGCAACCGTAGTTTACC